TGGAGGGCAGAAAAGATATGTCAGAAGGACTCTAAGGAGTTTAAAAGTAATGTTTCAAATAGCATAGAAAAATAAAATCCATTATAGAGACGACTGAGTCACGGAAACCTTGTATATAGCTTGAATATTTTCAATTTCAATAATTAAGTTGTTTTATATAAACCAGAAAATGACATTGACTAACAAATATAAATGTCATAATTTTTTATTTTTGCTTATCAGTGATTTTTAATTTAATATCTTATAATGACGATCTAATTTCTTTATAAATGATCCGATCAGCCGATAAAAAATCAGGTGTGTGTAACTGTATATTTAAATTAGGCTTTTTATAGGCTCAATCAGTATCATTAAATAATATGCTAAAATGGTATCGGGCTCGTTTGTACGTTGAATATTTTTATGGTCATTTTAAATATCTATATTGTTTTTAAATCTACTGTGCTTACCACGAATAAAAAATTAATATTAACTTTTCCTAAAAAAACTACTGATGATGAAAAATATTATTTTTATATTTATTTTTTTCAACTGACTTTGTAATTTGTAGAGGAAATCCACAAATCGAATGTACTGTAATGTATAATTTTACCGAATGTTAATCGATTTTAATGTTTTTAATGAATGAGAGGTCTGTGGAATAATAAACAAGATAACTTTGATGCTGATGAAACTTTTCAACTGACTTCCTTAAAAAGGAGGAGGTTCTCAATTCGGCTGTATATATTTTTTATGTTTGTTACCTCAGAACTCCGTCATTTAAAAACCGATTTGGACAATTTTTGTTTTGTTTGAAAGTGTACTTCCAGATTGGTCCAGCCGATACCAATCAGTTATTTTTTACTTTTTAGTGCTTTTCTTGAAGTCGGTTTTTATTTTTTTTAGTTAAAAAAATCAGTATTATTGGATGAAATTATGTTGAGTTATTATAACTTATGTTGAAGTTTAGACTTGCAACTTAAGGACCAAGTTAAGGATAAGGTGATAAACGCATGTAGACAAATATTAGCCTGATTGGCCGTGGTGCGTGAGTACAGTCGCGGTAAGAAGGTATTAAATAAAACAAAATATAACTGGAAACTATTTATAATCAACATCGAGTTTATAAAGTAGTCTTTACCGGCTAATATTTACAGCGTTGAGCATTTGTTCAGCGAATACACAAGCATTATGTTACATTAATTTATATCATATAAATATTATATAGTCTATGTCTATACATAATAGAAAAACAATTTTGAGAAAATAGTGCTAAAATATCATAAAGTTTCTTTGAAAAAATGTCACTATTTTTTAATCAATACATTTTTTCTTGAAATGATTTTTTTAATAATGACGCTTAGGATCACTAAAATATTGTTATATGGCAATACAATTTACGTAACTATAGATTATTTATAACATATAGTATTTCTTAAAAAAAGTATAGAATTGCATTAAAATTTGCAATTTTACTAAATAAAAAACAAACGTTTAAAAATGAGTATCCATCAAATGTTATATCTAAAAGTTTATAATTATTTATTATACATAAGTATTAGTCATATTTTTTGATAGTATTTTATTGTGTCACAGATAAAGGTACTTGTTGATTTATAAAATTGTTCATTTTTTTAATAATCTACTAAATAAATAGAAAAAATTAACGTAAGTACTAGAACAAACTTACAAGACATTCTTATTTACAAAATAGTTTGTGTGTTTGTGTACTTTAAAATAATTTTATCTCATAAACTTGTCACTGTAGCGAAGCTTTATCATTTACTATAAATATGTATCACAATCGATTCATAAATTCAATCTTAAATTATTTTTAACATATGAAATTGCACTATTCATTAATTACATATCTTACATCTTTACACTAAGAGCCGCACATTGTAGATTTTTAATCTACCCGGATAAATCAAAGTTTTAATAGATAAGGTTATGGAAAACAAAATATTATAATCTAATTAAAAATCTACAGTGTGTATACAAGAGATTTTTACCACATGTTAGGCGATTTAAAACAATATTTATAATAGTTAAATATTATAGATTAATTATAGTAAGCAGATTGTCGAAATGTTGCCAGTATTATATGAGATAAAGTAAAATAATCATAAAAATATATTGCTTAATAAATTATTGTTAAAAGTATTTAAAACCCAAACTGCTTGCTGGTGCTAAACTTAGGTGAGTATCCATTCACGTCCATCACGGTACCCGCCAGTAATAAACAGAGATGATAAATATTAAGATATGATTTATGAAGATATGTTTTAAAAGAACAAATATAAATTTATGCTTCTTGTGACATAATTATTATATAAATATATGAACATCGAAATATGTTGTAAACGTTGTTAGTATCTATTTATTATAAACTAGCTGACAACCCGACAGTCGCTGTATCTACCGTCTAAAGTACAAAATGTTTGTGCTCATATTCATAATCCCATAGATAAAAATAATTTCAGTTTTCCCGAATTTCCCCATTTTTTAGGTAACTTTTCCAAAATTTTCCCTAAAATCATAAATTGGACTATAACGAACATTTCAAAAAAACACAAATAGATACAAACGCTCTCAAGAGATGCGCTTACCAACGAACAGCATTTTATTTTTATTTATATAGATGTTCATAATTATGCATAAAAAAGTAAGCCATTTATAGATCGAGTCAAACTTTATGCTCTGTCTGAAAATAAGCTGGGAGCTTAGATAACATGTTTAAACTCGTCGAAGAATTGGATCTAAAAAATATATGATAATAACGTTATTATGTTTTTATAACATACGGTAACAATTTTTCTCAGTCCAATTTTTATTATGGCATGGAAAGAACTTGAATTGAATTAAGGCTACCGCGCTTGAATTCGCCGCGAGAGGCGCTAGTGTAGTGTGAGGTCTCTATAAATGTGACTTGAATCACACAGAATGCTTACTGTTTGTGAATTTTTCATCGTTGAATTTCTCCAATCATTCATGATTATTGTAAACATTGTGCCATTCCTGATTAATTATGACAGACACGGTACGATTAAACAAATTTTATTGCTTTAAAAGCAGACGTAAGAAAATGTAAATATTTTATCTATTCGGTTATTACTTATTATAGGTATACTATTTAAAACAAAATCCGGATAAAGTGGTACCGCGCTAACAATTATTTTTATATTTCATTTATCCTAGGCCTTGCGGCACTAACAATACGTTTTTTAACTACAGCGATAGGACCTTATTTAAAAAGGACCTTATTCGTCAGTGGGGCCAACTGGTGCCACCAAAAACGACATTGAATTGACGCTCGTCCTGTTTGTCCCAAAAGTGCCGAAAAATTGACTAAATTGCGCAACAATTTACGCCCACATTCACATATTTGTCGCGTAATCAATTAAAGAAAGCATAATGATGAATTTTATAGAAGTGTGAAAAATCGAATTTTTTAATAATATTAATGGTGGAAGAAATAAGATTCAAGGTTACATTAACAAATAAACTAATTATATGTTATATCAAATATGTGGAGTTATAAAACTTTTTGTGTACAAATATTCCAATTTGTATTAAATTAAAATTTCGACATAATATACTACATAGAGTCACTTTAAACTTGGACAAAACCAGGGCCGGACACTTGTTATTATTAATATTTCGTTCAAGGAGTATTGAAGATAAATGATGCTAATTTAATCTAATTATTAATTGATGTTATGATCAAATCAAATAAAATTGAAACCTGTTCACTTAATTGACGGTAAGTATAAGTATCTTTATTAACAGTATTAATTTATATTATCGCACACTTTTGACAAGTTCTTCCTCTTCCGTTCCACTCAGTAACAAATAGTATTGATTTAAAAAAACATAAGAGTTTATTGAAATAATAGATATTCCGTACAATAAAAATGTCATGTAGTTAAAGTTAAATATATTGTTTTTGATTATTTTAAAAATAATTGAAACAAAATGTTTCACTTATTAAAAACTTTTTTGTTTGTCTGTTTTAATCGGATATTGTTTTTTTTAATTATTCAGGGGACAGGTTAAAAAAATTATGAAATAAAAAAAAAATTGACAAATGGATATTATGAAGATTTCAAAGCAAGAAAGGCCTAACGACAATGTGACGTTTTATATAAATATATAGAAAAATCGAAATACAAACAATATTTGTAGCACTATTAATTATTCGAAAAACGTAAATGCGTATGTTTTTTTTATTTGAATACCCCTTTATCTTACGACCTGATACTGATACGTATATATATTATATACCTACCTATATTAATGTGTATATGTGTAGATATTTTATGATGCAATGTTTAACTGATTTACGAAATATAGATTGAGTAAAAGAAATATATGTACGTAACAGTACGTAACAGTGATTTTTGTTGTACAATACAACAAAAAATACTGTTACGTATATTTTCATATGAGCTTTTACTAAGTTTAAATATGTCGCAGTACGTCATGTGTGTAATTATAATGGTTCTTGACATTAAAATTAATTGAGCTTCCATATTTTCGCAATTAATATTAATTAATATTTTTCTAATCTATAAAATTGTCGACAGTAATGAATAAATAATTGAAAGTAACTTTCATTTAGGCATAATTCCAATAAATAATTTGGTATTTTTTATTTTCAATATAATATTTTTATGCTTTAACGAAAACCGACATTCGTTAATAACGCTCCAACTCAAACTGTTGTGTTAAAATACTGTTCAGTCTATAAACACAATGACATATAACTCATATAAAATGCATATTTATAGTTGTTCCTTTAAAACTTATCTAATAAAATTCAGGGGATCGAAGCCACTGGTGAGAGCTAGTCAAACTATAGATATGTAGGTACATAAAAATGGCGTATATTAAAAGGTAATTTATTTAAATAGCTTTTAACATAGAACACTATATTAGAAATGCCATCATTAATTCGACAGTCCGTTATTGTTTTCCTTATCGACCCTCGGATCTTGAGACCCCGGTCGTTGCCATAATCACGTATGAGAATGTCCAATGGATCCATGATGATGATTGGCTGCTAGGTGGTGGAAATATGGGGCATAAGGTCCTGGGCCAGTAAAGGGATAAGGTACCCCATGTGGGTACAAAAGGCCCCCAGGGTAAGGTCCTGAAGAAAATGCTCCGCCCGGTGGTGGGGGCACAGTTGGACTATTCACGTCCATACCAGGATTTTGCTTTTTCCATTTCGTGCGACGATTTTGAAACCAAATTTTAACCTGAGGAAGAAATTTTTTTGTCAGTTTCGATAAAATATAAGTTATGTTTATCTATTGGTCGTGATTCGATTTCCACACTGGCTGTTTTTGCAACTACTTGGAATTTGCGATGTTACCTACTTACTTAAATACTGCTTATTTGTTTGTATATGTATGTATTCATTGTATCTCTCTTTAAGATTGTTTGCACCCCTTCCTTCTCTGTTCTCTCTCTCTATCCAAAGGTTGTCTAGAATAGATCGCTCTCTAGCGATAAGGCCGCCTATTGTACTATTTGTATAATGTAAAATAAAGGTGTGCAATAAAGAATATTTCATTTCATGTACTTAATCGTCTGTAGATACTCCGGTCGATACTATTAGTATGGTTGTGGAATATCGTCAGTCAAACTTAACTCTGAGATTGCCGATAACGGGAATCTGATCAGCACCAACAGTTTAACACTTTTCCTTTGTATAAGAGATTGTAATAACAAAGTAATTTTTCACTTCATTCTCAGTTTTTTGGTGAACTTTTAACTCCGAAATATCTATATATAATACGTGAAGCAAAAACTTTGAACCCCTTTTTACGAACATTACGACCGACGGAGTAGTATGAAATTTCCCACACTTATAGTTTATATAGAGAAGGACTGCAGAATGTTAATATTTTTTCAAATTATACATAAAAAATACACTAAATCGATAAAAAAAAACATTACATACACTACCGTGTTTTTGACACACACACGCTTATAGGTATATCTACTCTTCTGTTTATTTTTAAAGTCTGTGGTCAAATTGAGTATTATGTATAGTTTAATAGCTATTGACGAGCTTTAGTTTTATAAATTAAAAATTCGATCACTCGGTGTACTCTAGTATAAATAATAATATAGAAAGAGTTTATTCTCTTTGTGCGGGAATCGAATCCGTGACATTAGGTGTGTCACTGTGGTTAGAGCCAAATAAATACATACGTACTTAATACTTGTACTTTTAAGTCAAAGGTGCGAAGGCTTCAAGCTTTATTCTTATGTTATTTAGTAATTTTATTTTTACATAAATTAAAATTTTATTTGAATAACTGTCAACTTTAATGTACATTTAATGATGATGATTGAACTTATCAAAGCTCTGAATGTTTTTATAGCACACTTTACTATGTAATTAGATAAGTTGTTGAACTTGATGAGAGAAACGAAATTTTACATATTTTGTGACTTTGTACACTCGTATCTAGGTTTGATTCTTTGTCAAGGCCATTTTTATGAATCATACTAATGTTTGACTTATACTCTACTGTTTCCATAAAGATTTTTTGTATTTTATCAAACCTGAAAGTATTTAAATTTTTTTTAACTAAGGTTATATTTACCTGTGTCTCCGTCAAACTAAGGCTTAACGCTAAGTTCAACCGCTCACAAACCGACAAATACCTTGTCGTTTTAAACTTATTCTCCAAAGAAACTAGCTGTTCGTATGTAAAGGCTGTTCTCGCTCTTCTTGGCTTTGTACCACCTTTAGTATCTCTGGATGATCCATTCTTGCATTTCTTTGAACTGGAACTAGTTGGACTCTTAGGATCTCCATTTTCATCTAAATCTGATTGTGTTAGGATATCATCATCCATGTTCGATGTCTGGTCGTCTGTCTCCACATCATCAGCTTCAAGATCTGAATGTTGGAGATGGTCTTTAACTGTAACAAGATGATTTATATCATTAATATAACTAAAAGAAGAAATTTCAACAACGAAGACGCTTTTCGTTCTAGATTATTTTGTTTAAGAAAATCAAAAGCTTACTATGATTATGAATAAGTAATAGAGAAAATTTATTTATACATTTAAATATTAGATAGTTAAAAGTTGGGCATAGAAAATTCAGATTAAATTAACCGCTTAAGCTTGTTAAACTTTGCAACAAATTGCAACAAACACTATACCTATTTGTGTATTACTTAGTGGAATAATATAGAGTTATAATTTAAGATACATCTCTTGTTTATGTGACACAGATACGTACCTATTTAAAACTTTTGTGAGCCTAATGTGAAATTATTATAATAAATTAAAAAAAAAACAAGTAGGTACGTCTAGACAAATTTATAACAACAACTTTTAACAGCTCGCAAATGTTAAACACAAATAAAATTCTTATAAATTAAACACTTTACTATCTCAATAATTTTGTGTTCTTATTTCTAGATGATATAATAGCCATATCCGTTTCCTCCTCAATCGTGAAGAGTTGCTAGTGCGAAATAGTTTTAAAACCGCTATTAATTTTTAAAGCGGCAACATTGGCGCGTCCGGAAACATTAAAATATAATTTACGAGTGTTTTGTCATTTTGTGCTTAGTGAAATTAGTAAAATGCGATCTCTAATGGCCGACAGGATGTATAAATATTATCGAAATTGTTTCGGTGTTTAGGTGTGACGTGGTTATGGGCTATAAGCGCGAAATAGCGTTAAAATGGGCATTAATAAAAGTCGTATCAAAATCAAAGCGTGTTTGTGTCAAATGGCCGGCAGTAACTTTCGCTGAAGCCGCTTGTCATAATTACATATTAAATAAAATTGAATATGGCTTACGGTTAATTTCTTTTTAATGCTATTTATTCTTGAGCTCTTTAACAAGATGGATTTTGTACTGACTCTGCCTGCGATTTTGCACGCGCTATATTTTTTATTGCGTTTTCCATCACTATTATTCATGCTATATGTATATTACGATTTAGTTAATTGAATCGATTTTTTTTTCTATCGGTATTATAAAAAAACAGTCTGGTCTATAAAGTTTTAACTGTTTGGCCTCTATAAAATACTAAATATAAAAAAAATCGTAAACGTATTTTTAGCATTTTAATAACTATATTAAATATCATTTTAAAAGTAAATTACCATTTCGAAAGTATATAATAAATAATGCGTGGCATATTATTTCCGTTGACATAAAGTATGATATCGGACTAGTTCTGGCAATTACGCTTAAAACACCAGTTCGATGATCGGAAAACATACATTATAAAATGTGCCCTAGATATTGCAATGTATATTTTATATCTACGTATAATTTATATATGTCTCGTAAAAACTATTCCATTTAAGTTATGAAGGATAAGTAATGAAGGATGGAGGAACTTTTTTAATTACACATTAACTTTTTAAATTTAACTTTTTAACTTTTTAAATTACACATAAAACAATTATATGGCTTAAATAATTAATACTATATTTTATATTTTTCTTTATGGTTATAAATAGAATAATAGCAACACTAAATATAGATTACAAATTAATATTTTAAAATTGTAGTAATTATAATAATAACAACAAAATTAAATAAATAAAATTCCATATTCAATTATAAAACTAATTAAAATTATAAAAATGTTTAATGTTAAAATATTGTAAGATAATTGGTGAAATTTTCATTTTGTTAATTATGGGTAGGCTGTCTGTAACAACTATACCTTCGAGACATGTAACACCTCAGTCTCTCCCGTGACCATGAATGCTGTAAAGCATTCGAAACGTCGGGAAACAAAAATACAAATAAATCCGCGACAAAATCCGAAAAGATAGTTTTATTTAAAATGTCAAAATTTCGCGTAAATCTAAAAAAGTATTATTATCATTAGGATTGTGTAAATCTATACAAATAAATAAAATTGAAGTGTCTGTTTGTAATGTCAAAATAACATCGTATTACTAAATCCATATGAAATTATATACGGTACTTATAAGAAAAACACATTTTTTGAATTTTTTGTCTGTCTGTCTGTTTGTTCCGGATAATCTCTGAAATGGCTGGACTGATTTTTGACGGGACATTCATTGGAAGATAGCTGATGTTATAGGGAGTAACATAGGCTACTTTTATTTTAGAAAAAGAAATAGGGTTTCGCTCAAAAAAAATAAAACATACCAACGGACGAACCCGAGCGAAGCGAGGGTGAGTCGCTAGTTGACTGAAATATGATGTTGATTATTGAAGATGTCGAAAAAAATCATATCGTCTGGGAGCTTTACTAGCTTGCACCGCGGTAATATAGTTATATTAAAACAATGTAGGCATTATTGTTAAAAAGATCCATTAAACCGTAGCAACGAAAAGCATACTGTAAAAAAAATATAGACTGTTTCTACAATTTATTTATTTCAATTACAGAAAACTAAGCTAGTGACGAATAATATGAACAACTTTTGTATAGGTATGCTGCATCGTGGGTGAAAAGAGGTCAGTATTCACTCAATAATCTAAGAGAACACTACATTCAAACTTAGCTTTCTTTGTTGCTTTAATGATATTATGAATCATTAGTTACCTAAACTACGAGAAGCTTTCGGCGTCAGTTAGAAATCCAAACAAAAATAACTTGAAGTATTAAATTAATTTAAAATGAAAAACAAGGTACGCTCCAAAACATCATACAATAATTCTGAGCTTTATTACTCACAAATGAAAACATGCTTTTTGACACTTCGCATAACGATACACATATATCTGTTTAACTAAAGTGTGTGATATAAACAATTCAATTTATACCTTATTTTTACTCTATTTAAGTTCAAATTTGGTTGTAGTTTATTTTGTTTTAAGATCTTATTAGTAAGGTCGGTTGTCCACATCGCACGGCACGAATTAACGCGATAAAATTACGAGCAGATGTTTCGACGACAGATATATTAGCATACGACGCCCAGTAGCTAAATTAAATCTTATAAGGACATGGTTCCAGCGGAAGTTGAAGATTATTTGGTATGAACATAATTTGTTCATTAAATGAAAGTATTATAACTAAATTACTCAAAAATGGACTTAACAGGTTAACGAATTAGGCCGACGACGTATAGCTTTAATTACAGATATCGCGATATTTTAATTGACTAACTTTCATGAAATACAGAAAGAGAAGTTGTCCTGAATTTTGTCTCTGCCCTTCTCTTTTCTCCTAGAAACAAATTAACTTATTCAAAATATTTTAAATAAAACTATCTTTTCGGATTTTTTCGCGGATTCATTTTGATTTTTGGTTCCCGACGTTTCGAATGCTTTACAGCAATCAATCAATTTAAGAAAGTATTATAGTCAAAAATATCACTATTAATTATAATTTTAAAAGTTCAGAATTTAGTTATTGATAATTGTAAAAAAAATATATTTAAACAACGATAATGTTAAGCTTGAAGGAAACATTTAGGTATATATTCATTATCGTTCTGTTATTTAAGTATTTTAAATAAAATTATTATCGAGAGTGTCTCTCCTGATACCATGGTTGCTGTAAAGCAAACGCCTGGAAACAAAAATGAAAATAAATCCGCGAAAAAATCCGAAAACATGGTATATTTAAAATGACAAATATTCCCGTAAATCTAAAATAGTTGTTTGTATTCAGCCCTTTTTAACGTCCCCCTGCGGGGCCCGGGCCTACCTTCAATATAAGGGGGATCAGGCCATAGTCTACTACGCTGGCCAAGTGCGTGTTGGTGGACTTCACATGTCGTTCGAAAACTTGCTAGGCTTTCTCAGACATGCAGGTTGCCTCACGATGTTTTCTTCACCGTAGTCTTAGAAAGTATCATTTAGGTTTGTTTAACTAGGATAATAATCCTACTAGTCCTACTAATATTATAAATGCAAAAGTTTGTAAGAATGTATGTATGGATGTATGTTTGTGACTATATCAAGCAAAAACTACTGAATGGATTTTGATGAAACCTTACAATAATATAGCTCATACATCAGAATAACACTTAGGCTACTTTTATCCCGGAAAAATATACGGTTCCCGTGAGATAGATCTGTTTTTTATTTTATTAATTATAATAGGTACAATATATAAGCGAGCAAGTGATGATCTCGCTTGAGGTTTCAGTCTGGTAGAGTAAGTAGAGACCAGGGAGAACTCAGTGGACTTTTCAAGATCGGCTGTTGACTGCTGACTGACAGAATATTATTATATGTATTGGAAGAAACAAAAAAAGTTTGTATGTAACGATCGTAATTCGTAACATTTGGCACTCTGTCCTAACTATCTCGCAAGGAAAATAACGTTTTTAAATGTAAAATATAACTTATATATCGTTATGAAATTATATATTTAATTTCGATGTACTTATTTAATGACCCACTTCTTTCGTAAATTTAGATCTATCCATAGCCAAGACATATGTACTAGGGAATTGTTACGGAGGTGGTTTTATAGGAACCGAGTTCAGAATCGGAGTTTTTAAATTTGGTTTGTCAGAACCGGAATCGAAATCGGAGGTGGAGGAGAAGAGAGGTGTGTTAATTACAGGTCTAATAAAATAAAATTACAAGCATTTCTCCTTATGAGTTCAATAAATAATAGGTACAAAACTGGTGTTGAAAATAAAAATAACCGAATCTTCTTAAATCTTAAACAGTAGGTAATAGTACCTAGTAAATTACCTCCAATTGAAATTTATCGGAACAGAAATCGGAATTGTAAGTGCAAAATCAATCGGTAAGTAAAGTTTCGATCTTTCACAATCGGAATCGAAGCTGCGTAACATCCCTGAATATACATATGTACCTATATCTTATCTTTTCCTTTAACTTAAACAAAGTCAAAAAAAGGTTATTAAGTTAATAATTAAATTTACTTATTCCTTGAAATTAAAAAAAACAAAGTTGTATTAAAATAAGTTAAAATTAAAATCTGACAA